ACACGTTGTTTGTAGCCCTATATACCAATTGTGAAATAAAATTTGACAAATTCTTCTATATTCTTATACTCTAGTTTTATCATCATGGACTAATTTTATAATATGCATCCGTCAAATAAAGCTTGAGAATTCTTGTTTAGTTGACAATAATGCTAGGTGTCGAAGTGTTATGTCATTCACGAGTTATGTTTTAATTAGAAGTGGAGCTAGGAGAGACATAATTTTTTTTTTTTAATTTTATAATGAGTTGGTTGATACATTGAAAAAAAAATCCATTTAAGAAAAGAATAATTTTCATTAATTTTTGCGAAAATTACAAAAACGGTCCCTAACATTTTCAATTTTTGTAAACTTTACAATAACCTTTAATTTATGCCAAAGAAGAGTCCAGCTGGATGAAAACCATCAATTTGACTGTTAGTTGACCAAAACGGGTGAACTTTGACCAATTTCGACCAAATTGAAAGGGATAAAATGGTAACTTTACATATTTTCGAATATTGACGATTAAAATAATAGAAGGAAAGAACTACATCCCACCCTACCCCATCTTTATCTTCCCATTTTCAAAATTACTTTTCAAATCTTCAAAACCCATGTCGACATTTAATGTTGTTTGCTTAAATTACTTTAGTGTAGACTCTTTAAAGAGAGAACCAAGAGTCTGTGTATGCATATTCATCTCTTTATTTTTCCATGAATAACTTTTTTCCCTGCACTCCCAGATCTCTCTCTCTCTCTCTCGCACACGCACTCTTTCTCTCTCTTCTGTTCATTCCTTCATCACATTGTATCTTTTTTCATCGTTTCTCTCACAATTTGCATTCCATAAATTTTTATAGCATTTTTTCATCTGAGATTTTGATTTTAGCTTATATACAAGCTTCAAGATCCACATTACAATTGATAAAAAGTATTCTTTTCTCCTTTTAGCTTATTTTTACTAGGTCGGACTTTTGCAATTGGTTCGATGGATATCTCAACAGTTATGAAATTAGGATTTTCGCAATACATGGTTGTGAAATGGTGCATACACAAATTGTGAGATTAAAGTTTTGGCATTACACAATTGTGCAAAGATTTGGATTTGATTTTTCATTTGGGTTCCATTTAGCAATGGAGAAAATAGTGACAGAGGTGGTGATAGCGATGGTAGCTATATGTAGCTATGGTAGTAGTAATTTTGTATGGGGATGGGAAATGGGGTGGATTTCGATGGGGATGAGGATGTTTAATTATTTTTTATTTAATGATTTTAATTATTTAATGTAAGAAAAATGTAAACTTATCATTTTACCTATTTTAATTTGGTCAAAATCCGCTTTCATTGGTTAACTAATGGTCAAATGGATGGTTTTCATCTAGTTGGATTTCATGTGCATATTTATGAATGGTTGGAGACCTTCAATTGTACAAATTGACGGTTATGGTAAAATATGCAAACATTGAAAAGATTGGAGAATGCTACTGCAATTTTCCCTTATTTTTTTTTCCTTTAAATTCAAATTGGGCCTTCCCTCGTCCCTGATTTTAACTACCTTCTTTAACATTTTTTTTACGCAAAGTGAAATTTAATGCCGTTCAATAGTCAATACTAACATGAAATTATGCAAAAACGAAATGTTTATGAGCATACACGCGATAAAATTTCATGCTAATTGTCAAGAGTAATGCTATTTGTACATACTAATGACATGAAAGAGAAAGAAAGGGAAAAAAGAGAGGGAAGAAAAGAAATTAAGTTATTATAATCTTTCCCACTCTTCAATTTCATCAAAATGTACAACTAGCATTACTCAATTGTCAATAACAAACTGGATCTTGCTACATATATATATATATATATATATATCAAAATTTACATAATGGATTATATAATGTTACATCATTTTTTGTAACCACTTATGTACATTTTTTTTGATAATAGTTTATATACATTTTTTATGTACAAGTAGCAAAATCTTAACTATAAACGACTTATTTAATTGTACTTATTATCTAATACTACATTAGCGCACGTAAACTGGGTTAGTGATACTAAATAATATTATTCTTTACATAACGTTTTTAATAATGCTATTAATAATAATGACTACTGGTAGTCCTCTACGTGACATGCATGTGGCAGTTTGTTATTTGATACATTAATGTGATAGTTTTTAATTATTTCATGTATTAAATAACAAACTGTAACATGTATGCCACGTATGCCTACTACCGGTAATTCTCACTATGAATAATATTAGAACTTGTTTGGGCGGGATTGAAATTTAAAAATTAATCGTTATTGTTGACTTTTATTAGACAATGGGACCCAATAACGACTATATTTTCAATTTTAATTGAATTAAAATCTCTTCCAAACAAGTTTTTATTCTTATATTTTACATAATGTTGAAGAAGTTATTTGATTGAAGAAATTTTGATCCAATTAAATCTTGTCAAATCATCTATTTTTAAATTATTATATAAATTGTTATGTGTACATAACACCATCCATAAATTAAAATCAAATTGGTTTAATTATGATGTCAGCTTGAGTGTGGGTACACACGAATTACAATATAAAGTTGTCGACTATGTAAAGTGAATCTATAGTGTGTTTGGTAGAGATTTTTGGGGAAAGAATTGATTTTTGAATAGTGATATGATGGGAAATGTGTGGTTGAAAAAGAAGAAAAAAGTATTGATGTGATGGAAAATATTATTTTATTGAAGAATGTGTGATTGAAAATGAGAATTGATTTACTGTAGAAAATGAAAATTTTTATCAAACGGGCTTCTAGTAACGTACACGTGGTCTTTATCCTCCATCTAAACTGTTCATTTGCTTCCACATCAAAATTGCAATAAAATGGCTTAAAATACTCGCCCATTCCTAAATCTTAACTCAGTAGATTTTGCCAACACTGGATTTTGCAGTTTGGTAACTTCCTTTTCCCTGCGGATTAGGGTTCTTAATTATACATACACATCTATTTGTTGATGCACATACGTATATCAGTTTGTTTACGTGATTTTTATTATTTGATTGCTGCTGCGGTAGAGTTTTTTTCGTTAAGGGTTAGTGATTTAAATGTTTATTTTTATCTAGATTTAGTCTCAATTGTTTGAAAACGTTATTGATTCTGCATTTCATTTTTCATTTCCTTAAAATGTTATGTATGATAAACTAAAATTTTTAGCTGAAATTTACTGATATAGGGTTTCTTTTTTATTTGAGTATGTGTGAAACTTTGAACTGGCTATTGAATGAAGTAAAGGATTACCATTTGTTGAAATATAAGTTTTTTCGGAGTAATTCCATATTTCGGTCAATGTAGTTGAGCCCTGTTTAATTAATGATACACATATTTTCCCCAGAGTTTTACTGGTTTAGGGTTTTTTTTTTTTTTTTTT